CCGTCTCTTCTTTAAAGATGGCGTAATTTTATACATTCTGTTTAACATATTAATTAAAATAATTTGGTTACAAAATACCATATTTTCTTCAAGATATAGAAATCCTTTACTGGACGAGCAGAATATGTTAGCGGTCAATTTATTCAGTAACTAGATGTTGTCCGCGTTAACTTAAAACTTACTTAGTAGCCTATGTGTTCTTCTAGACTTTATTGTACATCTATGCCAAATTTAACAAACATCCATCCATCCATCCAAACATTCGCATTTATAATATTAGTAAGATGTAATAACCCGTTTTATCAAAGCAATATAACTTACAAAAGTGATGCAACGTATAATGATTATCTGAGAAATTGATGCAGATCTTGTCATAACATGAACACGCAACCGAAAAATGAGACATCACGCATCTATTACCGCAGAAAAAGGGGTAATGTGTTTAGAGCAAAAAGCCAAACGCATCGTCAGTGACGCCATAATGAAGTGGACGGGTATAACTTGACGTGCCGCAAGTCATAAGCGATAGCGGGATTCATTACATTGTAAGAAAATAATTACAAATTAAATTAAGTTATTAACTTTATTTAAAAAAAATCAATACGAGACTTATGTCTTCCTAAATAGATGTTCCAAGCGATTACTTTTTGAAACACTAGCTTTGATTTGGTTAGTAATAAAAATATAGTTTGATCTCTTTGCTTATATCACATAGTCGAACGGAATTCGCTTATCCAGTGAGTTAGCGAGATTAAGCGTTCACTTTGAATAGACTTAAGACAAATTAGAGTGATATATCATAATTAATATTAGACAATTATTATACATATTTTAGATTCAAGTTTTATTTATTCGTTATACTTAAATCTAATACAAACGATACAACCAAACGTACAATACAATGAAAGAAAATGATTGTGCCTTTACGTCATTGCTTATATGTATTAAGTTAAGTTTCCGCTGCATTGCTTCCAGAAGATTTTATTTTATGACATCTCAGCTAATTTTTACAATCATATTTTATTAAAAGCACGTCTTTAACGTATATTTTCGTTATCATGTCTATCTGTTCTTAATCCTATAGTTGTATGAATAGGAAGTGCATCAGTGACGGGGTCGAAGATGTCGCGCTACACATTATGTGATGTGTGATTAACGAATCAACCGCGGTGTGGCATGACCAGCTGTAACAGACCGGTAATGAGATTGTGGAGGGAGACTAGCGTCACTTTTACTAAATAAAATATTTGTGTTCATAGTATTCAATTTGGTCCCAGGTATAAAGGAAACAGTTAAATCGAGCATGTACAAATATTTTATAAGACACTAACCTTGATAGAATATTATATCTTTGTTGTGTACACGTAATGAAAGCCGATTTACGCGGCCTCTTCAAATTCAAATTTGTAGTCTAATTTATTAAACAGATAACACAGACTGAATCACTTTAAATTACACAAATAAAGTAAGACTTTTTAAGGACATTTCCAAAAAAATAATCGACATCACAGGGGACCGAAGAGCTGGCTACCTCGGTCAAAGAATCAGTTTAGCTGTACAGAGGGGGAACGCTGCCAGTATCTTCGGGACCTTGCCTAAAGGGACTCCTTTTAATAACATATTTTAGTTAATTATTCGTTTTTTTAAAATATTTTATTTTATATCATAGATTTAAGACTTTATGTAATCATAGAAATAAGGATGTAAATAAAGTTGAGTAGTGAAACAAGGACCTAACCAAGCAGACTAAACATACAGTTCAATAGGCTATTATTATGACATCAAAGAATCCAGACGACACAGTTCAGTATTATATCGATTACAAAACCCGTTCGATTATGCAAAGCGTTACGTTTGTTTAGGCTCGAATGAATTTGCATTTCATCAAGCTATTGTTCGTATGTGCTCGCGTCTTCCGTTTATTGTTTTAGTTTTTATCTTTTTGCTCTGTAATAATTAAATTAAGACTGGTTTCATTGACTTTCCTGCATAAAAATACATTGTTTAAAAAAACTAATTTAGAAACTTTGACGTAATACATTCGTAATCAATTGTATTATCTTTCAATCTTACTAATGTTATAAATGCGAATATTTGGATGGATATACTTTTGATAGATATCCCCAGAACAGCCGCATGCATCTCGCTGAAATCTGGTACAGATGTAGAACATAGTCCCGAAGAACACTTAGGCTACTAATAATATATTTTTAATTACACACGGACCAAATCGCAGGTAATAGCTAGTTGATAATAAAAAAAACATTTCACTTTTTTTGTCGATATAATTCACAGAATATTTTACTTTAATAAATCTAGTTTTATTTATGTTGTTATATAAAAAATAGTTAATGCATTTATGGTAAATAATATAATTAATTAAATCAAATCTCAAATATACTATGAGGTTTGTAGAAAATGTATTTATGTAACATTATTGTGATACTTACATTGTCACATACCATTAAGTAAATCGCTAGCCGTGTATGGAATGTGGTAGTTATCTGTCGGCATTTATCTCCTTTTTTTTGTTTGTTTAAAATTTGCATTCAATGGGTCACCCGGAGAAAGCCACGCTGTCTCACAGAGGATTGGATTCACTGTTGCTGATAAAAGTATGTGAAATTTTTAAATCTACTTTAATATTACGAAACTTTATTGTTTTGTTCGCAGATATGTGAAGTAAATTTAATCGAACCCGGACTTACAGATTAAAAGTCTATTGCTTAAACTCTGCGCTACCAAACTTTATATTTTTTTTACAAAGCTGCTTATAAATTTGCTTCTTGTATTCCATAATATGTTAAATAAAACCAAAATAAAAGGTTCACGTAACATCGGAGAAGTTTAATCCAAAAAAAGCAAAGCGAGAGGCGACCCAGTAATTATACACGTTGTATATTTGTATACATATAGTATCGTCTCTTGCGATGTGTAGCCAAAAGCAGTGTTACTACAATCTAAAGCGTGTAACCACAACTCTACCAATAGATTCGAGAAACTGCGGCTTGTCTTTGGTAAAGATCTCTTTGAGCTACCTGTAGCTTTTTTTGTTTTTAATATATAACACAATGTTACATAAAATATTACTCAGACTCATTATATTGTTCATGATTTGCACATTTAAATTAATTTTATGCATACGTTTTTACAGAGTAAATATTCTTTTGGAATGTCAAAAAATTTGAATAAAGAGATGCCGCAGATTAGCCTTTTTATTTTCGACTTTTTATTTTATTAGTGACTACCCTTTTTCTGTTACCTGGAATAAGTTAAACACAGTTAATTACGTTATCCAATGGTTATCAAGATTCCATACAGTTGCGCTAAATATTAGCAAACGCTTAGATTATATGACTCATTCTTCATAAAGATAACTGGAGCAACAGCTTCCGAAGCCTCTGATTATTGCAGACTATTATTAGCATTTCTTAAGTGTCCTTAAAGCACAGTAATTACTAAGAATTGATTTAAGGGGACAGTTCTGTAATAAAATTGTTGAAAAATACTCACGATTTAGGATCAATAAAGCGTACTCCTCCCGTAACGGCCGGGAATGCATCTGCTGTTCCTCTAGTGTTGTTGTGTTGTCCCCTTTCTACTATGAATATATAATTGTCTCTATCTTAGCCCTTGCATTTTCCTTTTACAAGCACGTAATATCAAGGTGACGAATGAATTTAAGTGACGACATACAATTTAAGAAACAAACCACGTTTTAAATGTGGTGTAGAGAGTGTCTGTGAGTCACTCAGGGCTCGCCAGGCCCCGCTTCTGACTCACTCAAGTACTAACATTCTAAGGACTAATGGACTTATGTAATAATGGAGTTCTGGTTACATAATGATCAATATTTATACAGGATGTGTGATAACAAACATGGCTAGATATTTGCTGTATTTAACTATATTCTCATATTAGCAATGTAAATTAATGAATTGTCTAACAGTTCGCGTTTAGTAATTCACGAGTTTTTGTTTCGCATAATTATTATTAAGATTATTTTTTATTTGAAGTCGGTTACAGCAAAGATTAGACAGAGGACAGGTTTTTAATATACTAATTCCAGATGTTAGTTAGTTGTTAGTTTAGTTTACAAAAATAACACGGGACCTCCCATAAGACTTTTGTATGTGTGATAAAAATATAATTAACTAACTTGTTTAAACGAGTCTTATCCAGCTTAATAAAAAATATTTCCACACTTTACGATAACGTAGTTCTTTATTGCGTTCGAGTGATAAATCCGGATGTGTAAACTGTCTTCGGTCAAGATATTGGTAGTAAATAATTGTGAGTAAGATACGACAATAATCCGCTCGACACACGACTTACGCAATGAATCGAGATTCGGTACACTCGACGCCGGAGAAAGTGCACCTTGCAGCAGATTAACGGGCGAGCAAATATATTCGCTAATTTCGCCAAAGTGGACGAATTACGTAACTCTATCGTAGGCGTATTCGACTTAACCATCTCATGGGAACTCAGTTTCTAATGTGAACGTCTAGCAAATCGATTCATTATTACGAATCGATTTACACAATATCGATATTATTCGGCACACACATTCTAATTATGCAATTGTCGTTTCATTTCGTTAATTTTGAATACATAAATAAATATTGTTTTACTTGTAGTTTGAAAACTGATATACTTATGTAATATATTATACATCAGGTTTAATGATATTGAAAGTGAAACAATTTAAGTAAAATTTCGTATCCTATATCTTAGTGTTGTCTTACGTAAGTCGATGTATTTACATTTTATCGTCATCTCGTTCACTTTCGATACTCGAGTTTCGATTTCGAGCAGTTCGAGGACCTTGCAGCGCGTTATGCGAGTTAATGGTTTATATCCCTATAAGGTGTTGCGATTGTTGCGTACTTACGCTTAACCAAGTCGAAAACAATTACGAAACGTTCTCAGAGGACAAGCCATTTCTCCGTGTGTTTGCATTCAGTGCAACGATGAGAACGGCTTGAATAATACTTTGGTTTATACAAAAAAGTAGTTTTATTTACAGAAACTTACATTAACAACAAATATAATACAAGTTTACTTCTAGGGTGCGATCACATGATTTATCATAACATTACAATGAATGAAATGAGATGACTATATAGTGTTTCGTTTCGTTTAATGGTGAGGCGCGCCGTAGGAGGAAGAGGGTGAGGGGACCCCGTAGGAGCCGGAGGGAGCTCCGATGGTGGTGTAGGAGACCGAGGGGGCGGAGTATGAGAGGGAGCCACCGCTGTAGCCGTGCCCGCCGCTGGAGTAGCCGCCGCTGGAGTAACCGCCGCTAGAGTAACCGCCAGAGTAGCCGCCGGCGTAGCCACCGGAGTAGTCTTCTTGGGCCTGGTGGTACTGAGCGACCTGAATGCCCTGCTGGATGTGGTCGAGTTCGATGCCGACGATCCTCTCGTAGGGCACACCGTAGACTGGGGCAGGGGCGCCGTAGTGAGAGGACAAGCCGTGGCCGGAGATTCCGTGGCCAGAGGAGGCGCTCTGGTACGCTTGGTTCTGGATCTCGTCCTTAAGGATGATGTGCTTGATCTTGCCAAGTAGATGGGGGTCAATGTGGTAGCCTTCGGTGTCTTGGTGTCCGACGGGCACGGAGGTGTAGTGGCCGCCGCTGCTGAGCGGGGAGCCGTGGCTGCTGCTCGAGTAGACGAGAGCGGAAGGCGCAGAGTAGCTGTAGCCAACCGGAGGCTCGGCGACGGCACAGCCGATCAGGGCGAGGGCGACCTGATAAAAAATAAAATCACATAAGAATACGGTATCAACTAAGGGTTATTGATGATAGGTAATTAGGTGGTCGTGTAACTTGTACTATTAATCACTCAGATTGAACATGAAATTATCAATGAAAAAGTAACGCGAAAATAATTTAAATTCCACTTTGTGTTGAATATCCTTTTATGACATGGTGATGATTTTTTATATCTGAGGATGACCTCAGACTACAAAAGCTGATACTAGACCAGTTTTTGTTTCACCGAACGCTTCCCACGTTACTTTACGGGGCAACGGTTTGCTCGCTACACTGGATCTTATTCACTATCACTGCACTCCTGGTTAACACTTACGATGCTCCACTTTGCCATTGTTGTTATGGTCTCCGTGACTGTTGGTAGTATGATAGCTGTGAGAGCTAGCCGCCGCTTATATAGCGGGTAGTCTGCCGTCAACTTTTACTTCGGTCCATCCGCCGCGCGCCGTCGAGGACGAATTCGGATTACGAGCAAACTGTATCGGGCGATTTTTGGTAAAAGCATTCCTTAATTGTATCTATTAAAGTAATTGATTAATGCATTCATAGATTTACGATATTCTAATGTTAATTTTATATACACTGGACAAATATGGAGATATCTATTGCAACAATTAAATTGTGTATATTAAGAGTTTAAAGATTTGTAAACGATCCAAGCGCAAGTATAAATTTGTTACAGCTCATCACATTTGTTTTGAGTGTTTACGTGAAATAACATATTTGTTTTTTTTTTGTTGTAACGTTTTCTTTTTATTTAAAAAATAAAAAACATAAGAAATTTAATGGGTAATAAAACGCAACGTTTAGATTTTATTTTATTTGCAAGATGATTTTGATTTTCATTACTTCAAGCATTTTATTAATGAATATGCTAAATAAGTTATTTTACTTTCTACATTTAATGAAAAAGTTTTTAACATAACACATTTCCGTCCTGTAATTTAATCCATTTCATTAAAAAGAGATTTTGAAAAAGTAAAAAATGTAATACATCTCGAATATATTTTTGACAACATCTACCATTTCCAGATGATTAAAAATAATTATTTGTTAGGATAAAATGGAACGAGTATGTGAGCTGAGCGTAAAGACATGTCCTTTCCATTATATTCAAACATTACTTATGTCTAAATCTTAGGGCACATTTGAATAAAGATATATTAGAAAGAAACAGCGATGGATAACTGCTAAAGTGCATTGCGTCAAAGTCCATTGGCCGGGATCGAATCCCTACAATTACTTGAGAGGCGTTACTTAAGTGGAAAGGTGATTTATATCAGTCGGACATTACGATCGACATTAAACTGTGTCAAGGTTCCGTTCTCCCTTCCTTGCTTACTTAAAAACAAGTTTAATTTTAAACCAGTAATTTTTAATATAAAGTCACTTTCGTTAACTTTATCTGTGTTTACACAATCACATAGGAGATGACAGATTCTTGTTTTGATAAATTTGAAATTTAAAAATGATAAAATGTTCCATTCCACAGCATTTTTTTTATAACAAAAGGGGGCAAACGAGCAGCGGGAACACCGAGGTGTTCAACGATGCCAATGGACATCAGCAATACCAGAGGAACCGCAGATGCGTTGCCGGCCTTTGAGGTGGTGATAAGCTCGCTTCAAAGGATATAAAATGTAAATTGGATTGACTTGTTTATATTTTCTTATGCATTTGCTATTGTTTGTGGCTCTCTTGCTGAATCTATGGTAGGTATAATTATGAATTATTAATTGTACTTCATTGATATTATACCAAATTACTGTATTACTTAGTTAAGTTAGCTTTAACCTACTTATGTAAGTGTACACAACAATTCTAGGAGTTTTTTTCATTGTTAATCTTAAGATCTTAATACAATAATATCGATAACAGCATCAAATTACATGCTGGTGTTGAAATTGGGTTTATTGATTTGGTTGTACGAATCGAAGGTCGTATAAGTTTTGTACATACTTAAGTATAAACAGATTGACACACAAACAGAAAACTGAACATCTTTAACAGCCCAATCAGTTCGTTCAGGAGCCATCTCATTTCAATACAATGCAGAATTATCATAAATGACAGTCGGACGCGCCAAGTGATATGTTACGACATATTGTTTCTTCATTAGCCACTGTCTTTTGTTTTTTTTTTGGCGTCTCTTGAATGGTTAAAGGAATTTGGAATGTCAGTTTCCACTCTTTTAAATGACACGACATGTTTATAATTACCTCTTCATTTAGTTACTTAATCGAGTTTTCTATAAATTTCAAGTATCAAGATCATTAAATCCAGTTATATCTCTTTGAGATTTTTATTTTAGTCAACAGATGAGACGAAACAATTAAATTTTTATGTCGTTAGACATTTTAAGAATAAGCTTAATAAATGTTTTAAATTCTAAAAACACAAGACAAACTCAACTAATAATTACAACTAACGTTCACAATAGAAAACAATAAAGATGTCTAACACAGGTGACACAGATTAGATATGTTACAGAGGCTTCGATGTTCGAATTTCGAATACTAAAAAGTTCAAGGCAAAAAAGATTTTGTTTTCTATTTGTCGGTCTACAGAATAATCTTACGTACTTAGATATCATCGTATGTCTGATTAAGCAAAATTATTAAATTTTCTCCAATACAAAGGTATGAAAATGTTATAAATATTTATAATACGTATAGGCATTAGTATGTGTTTTGTGTTTGATCCGTCAATTTCTTTATGTTAAGTGTTGTATTGTAGATAATAACATACTACTTTTTGAAAAATAAAATTGTTCTTTAAATTTTTATTGACGCCTCTGTGATAATTGTACTCTGTGAAAAATAAACATACACTATTGACACCGCGTGACCGTTTAGATGGAGTTTGTGACTCGACTGACTGGATTAGCTTGAGTGAAAGTCATATAAAGAATTATCTAATTACATTTTATATCTTGCTTTACATTTTAAACAAAACTTTCATTCTTTACATGTCATGTTAATTAATTTTTCTACGTTTTTTCCTTGTTGGATATTGGGAGTAATGATACGACCTCTAGCTTAGTGCAGACTGGCTTATTGACGTCCTTGTCAAAGTGACGGCAGACGCAGCAGCCGTTGGTTAACGCGCACAGATTATACACTGACGTATACAACATTCCTCGATTTTCTTTTGAAATACAGTCACTGCTGTTAATTGCTGTAATGCTTAAATTTTAATTCATTATTATTTATTCTAAAAGTAATCTTTATGAAGTTTAGTTACTGGAGTATAGTATCTCGTCAATCTGAACGCAGCATAGAAATCCATCGACGCATCTTTGCAAGACAATGTCAAAGTTCATCGACACGGGCTTGGAGGCAATGCCATCTCTGATGCAGACTTTATCAGTTAACTCTAAGTTTACACTAGCGAAATACATGTACATAAAGTTATTGTCATCTTCTTCATTTTCTTAGAAAAAATAGAGATAGCAATTAGAATAGATAACAAGAGTAAACGTTACCATGAGGTAATATGTAGCTTTCTTGATGTATTTATTTTAGTCTGAAAAAAGGTTTTGTAGAAACAAAAAGTAACAAATAATTTCCAATTGAAGTACTTGAGTTTCTGACACCAAATCTCCGTATAAATTATATCGTCATCTCCGTCTTTCGTCTTTGACAAAACAGAGATGTTTTAAAACGCGATTTTGTTCTCAGAAACCCACGATTACAATGTTAATTTGAATTGTGTACTATCTCTAGCTTTTTAAGTCAATGCTTTCACTCGCGTTGATGTCTTTTATCTGCGAGCATTTCAATATCCTTTATTGAGCCGTTCAATGAGAAAGCATAACATTATTTTTTCTTATTTTTTTTATTTTATACGTTATCAGTAATGAATTATTATGTAAGTGGTATTCGACATGAAAAATGTAAATATTAAATTTATCATTACAATCCTTACTATGATTTTATGTACTGATTTTCATTTTATTTGCTTGATTAAAATTTCTAACAACCTTTGACCTTTAGCAGCGCTTAACAAGATTACGTATATTACGCTGTGTGAAAGTTAAGCGCTCTATCATTGCATTTTTCTACGATCAATGCCAGTTGTGATTCCGGTTCAGTGAATGTAGCGTGAGAACACTACATGAACAATTTTGTCAATAAAAAAACCATTCGCAGTATGTATAAGAGTTTTATAAGAGTTACCTAACTATTGAGGAGTCAATAGAACATAACGAAGATCCGGCGATGCAAATCCCACAGGTTACAATTATGTTTCACAGAGAGATCTCTCCCTCCCTCTCTCTCTCTCTCTTTCTCTACAGCTATATGATGCCCACTGCTTGGCTTAGGACTCTACCGTAGATAGCTACGATGATCGGTCCTGTGCTACCCTCACCCAGGATACTTCCGAAACCAAGAGCTATATTGCTAAAATAATTTTAGATCTCTTTACACATTTCGAAGAAAGAAGAGAAAATTTTTGTAACACATAAAATGCGCGTTTGTCTTTTACGAGGATATACGGCGCATTTACAAAGCGATTGTGATGTTTTCAGATTAAAGATAAAACATTAATACAGTTGTTTATTACAAAATATAATATAATATAGCGCATATGTTACAATACCGTGTGTTTCACAAGTAGTTAACTAGCGAACGCACCCGACTTGCCTCGCTCCAGTTCCCCGCAATCATTGCGTTCTCGTTAAAGTAACATCTCGTATGAACGCAATTAGTTATTACATTCACGGTTCATCGCAAACGGAGAAAGGCTGCGAGATGGACACGAGAAGAGATACGCGGGTGCGTGTTTACATTGCACTACAACGACACTACAACTTTATTGAAAATTGCTCTGTCTGTATTTGGAATTAGTTTAATTTTATAATCATCATCTGTAATAGTATTATAATATAATTACGAAAAAATATGGAGAGGATTGAAATCAGGAATTTAGAAGTGGTTCTTCCTGTTGTCATAATTTCATTTATTAGATAGTATTCGAAAATATTAAATTCTTTACTTTCTAGTTACCAAATTGCAAGAAGTAAAAGAAATTTGGTGTTGTAATAACTACAATACTTAAAATTTTTGTATAAGTAAAAATTTAAATTTTTATTCGTAATGTCGTGTCGTCGTGTTCCTTGGACACAAGGCAGAGCTACTACAGCCCAGTATCACACGTCACCGACTGATCTGCGGCGCACGCTCACTTGGTGTTATGTAAGATTTTATATTTTTTAAACCCCATCTTTCATATATTAAGTTTAATTGATCAGTTGGCACTGTAAAGATATGACGCGACGTTTAAAAATACCTGACAATTTTTCTCAAAGAAAGGTTAAAATAGTCAAGTTTTTGCGGACTTTTGTATCGGTCTATCTCATAAGGTATTAACACTGGTTTATTT